CCTTCCTGATGAAGGCAGACCCAGTGGGAGCAGCTGGGGACAGGCCCGGTGAGATCTTAAAGGTTCCTAAAATAGGAATAGCTATTTCTCTTGTATTCAGGGACAAGCCTGTAAAATGGGACTCTACCATCTTTGGTGCCATCTGTCACAGAATTTCTTGGGCAGTACCAGCCCCACCCCCTAGCAAGGCTTACATTATCCAGGCGGTGCCCTTTTCAGCAACATATGCCTCTTCCCCACTTAAGACCCCTGCCCAGTCTATGCCTCCTTTCCCAGCCAGTGCACCCTCTGTAACTGTGCCCAATCCCCAGCCATTCCCCCAGACCCTGTGAACCCCTTGCCTAACAAGCGCCTCCTCCCCCAGCCAGGTACCCTCCCCTCTTCAAAAGCCAGGAATTCCTTTTTCATCCTATGCCAACTTTATGCCAACTAGTCTCCCTTCAGCAATGAGTGTCCTTGTCACCAGCCTAGTCCCCCTTCCTTGCCCAGCTGTAGTTTCTTAACCTTGCTCCTCAGTTTAACTCCTTTCTAGAGTTGGGCCTCCTTTCTCAGGGAGTCCCTCTTCCCCACCTGATCCCCACCCTATGCTGCCTGCCCTTCTCTCATCAGGAGCCCTGAAGCTGTCTGTTCCCTGAAACCTAGCCATGCCCACTTTCTCAGCCAGGCCCCTCACTTAGCCAGGCCCCCTTCATCCATTTATATCTTTCCTCCTAGCTAGACCCCCTTCCCCAGCCAAGGGCACATCTCCAGTCAGGTCCCCTTGCCCTGCTAGACATGCTTTCCCTATGCCTACTGATATGGCCCTCCCTAGTCAGGCCCCATTTCCCAGCCAGTACTGCCTTCTGCAGCAGCCCTACCCAGGCCCCATGCCCCAGCTTGTCCCTCCCCAGCCTGTGGCCCCTGGACAGGTAGGCTCTCTTTGGCAACCAGGCAGCCTTCCCAAGCCTGAACTCCTGTCTCTAGTCTGTCCTGAACCATGAAGGAATTCTACCCCAGCCAGAGCCCCTTCTCCTGCTAGGTCCCCTTCACCTAATATCCATATCTTCAGGCAGCCTCCATGACCCAACTTTATTTTCCTTGCCCAGCCTATGTCCCCTCACCCAGGGCCCCTTTCCCCAGCCATAACCTTTCCTCAAGCTGTGCCCTCTTTAGCCCCTTTCTTTGCCATCTGACCAGTCTGTGCGCACCTCTCTGCCTTCTAACCACTTACTGCTGAGTTCCCAGCCTGTGTCTCGGTAGGGCTTCCTCCCCATCCTGTACCCCCACTGGATGCCCCTCCTTCCTTCCTCTTCCCAGGCCAGCCTCAACCCCAGCCAGAGCCCATTCCTAAACCTGAGACCCTGCTGACGGGCCCGTTAGCCAGTCTGCCCTTCCCCAGCCCAGGCCTCTTTTCTTTTCTTTCTTTCTTTCTTTCTTTTTTTTTTTTTTTTTTGAGACGGAGTCTCACTCTGTTCCCCGGCTGGAGTGCAGTGGTGTGATCTTGGCTCACTGCAACCTCTGCCTCCCAGGTTCAAGCGATTCTCCTGCCTCAGCCTCCTGAGTAGCTGGGATTACAGGTGAGTACCACCATGCCCAGCTAATTTTTGTATTTTTAGTAGAGACAGGGTTTCAATATGTTGGTCAGGCTGGTCTTGAACTCCTGACCTCGTGATTTGCCCTCCTTGTCCTCCCAAAGTGCTGGGATTACAGGCGTGAGCCACTGTGCCTGGATGCCTCTTTTCAACTCTATGTCCCCTTCCCACAGCCAGGCACCTATCCCCAGCCTTTCCCCTTTTCAATGAGACCACTTTTCCAAAGAGTTGCCCCTTTACTGGCCTTTCCCAGCCAGCACCTCGTTCTACAACCAGGCATCTTCTCTCAGCATTCCCTCACCTGCCCAGTTACTATGCAACCTTTTCCACCAGGATCCTTTCACCCACATGTGCCCCATGCTAAGCCAAGTCCACTTCCCCAGCTAGGAACCCTATCCTAGTCTTGCCCCTCCTGCAGCCAGGCTCTCCTCACCCACTATGCTCTCTGCCCCAGTCTGTGCTCCTTTTCCCACGCAGGCCTCCTTCTGCAGCCTTCGCCTTCCTAAGCTCCTTGTCCAGCCTATTGCCCCTCCCCTAGCCAGATCCCATTCCTATCCTGTGTCCCCCTCCTCAACTAAGCCCATTTTCTCAACCACGTGCACTTTCTCAGCCAGGTTCCCGTCAAGGGCAGAGGCCCTCATTCCCAGGCATGATCTCTTTCCCAGCAAGCCCTCTCTACCTGCTAGGCCCACTCTCCCAGCCTGGCCCACTAACCCACCTATGATCCCATCTCTAGCCTATGTCCTTCTCAGTATTCAAACCTCTCCCACCACCATGTTCCCTTTCTTAGTCTGTGCTTCCCTCCCCAGCCCCTTCCTCTGTCAGAGTCCCTCTCTAGTCAGGCAACCTTTCCCTGACAGGGTATTTTTACCCCCACTATCCTCCTTGCCCAGCATCCATCTGTCTTCCTTGGCTTGTGCCAGACTCTCAAGCCGGTGCTCCCTTTACAAGATGGGCACATCCCCACGTCTGGGACCCTTCCTCAGCCTCGCCCTCTCTGCCAATCTATGTCCTTCTCCCTCAGTCTATGTCCTTCTCCCCAGCTTATGCCTGCTTTCCTGCTAGATCTCCTTCTCTGGTCCAGTGTCTTCTCCAGCCTGGACTCCATTGGACAGCCCATGCCCCCTCCCCTGGCCAGGTGCTCTTCCCCAGCCTTTCCCCTCATTAACAGCCAGGGATACCTTTCTCATCCTTTGGCTCCTAACTCAACTGGGCCTCCTTCCCTTGACTGGCCAGTTCTTCCCTAACCAGCTCCCCACCCCCACTCACCCTATTATCCCCTTCCCAGCCAGGCTTTCTTCCCCACCCCGTGTCCCAGTCCACAGATAGATTCTCTTGCCCAGCCTTGTCCCCTTCGTCTACCCGTGCCTCCATAGCCTGTTCCCTCTTCCCCAAGATCTTCCTCCTTGCCCTGCCAAGGCCACTCCCATGCTTCGCCCGTTTGGCCACCTAAGCCTTCTCAGCCTGGCCACCTTTCCCAGCCAGTGTTCCCCGACACTTACTGCCAGGTCCCCCCTCCCCTCATCCCAGCCAGGCTTCCTTCTCCTTCCATGACCCCTCCACACCATATAGCCCTTCTTCAGTCTGTATGTCCTCCCCAGCAAGGCTCCCTTCCCTATCCAGGCCCAATTCCTCAATTCCCTTCAATTCTCCTGGCCAGGCAGGTTGCCTGAGTTACCTCATTCAATAGCCACAGACTCCTTCCTACCAGGGGTCTTCTCCCAATGAGCTGCCCCCTGGTCAACCTATTCCTACTGCCAGTGCCTCTTTCTTGGCCCAGTCCCCTTTCCTGCCCTTTTCTCCACCCACCTCCACCACTGCCAGGACCCCTTCCCCAGACTGTAGCCCAGTTCCCAATCAGCTTCTCTTCCCAAGATAGGCCCCCTTTCTCTCCTTCTCCAGCCTGCCCCAGCTGGGCCACCTTCTCCTACCACCCTTCACCAGCCCACGCCCCAGCCTCTAGCCTGGACCCTTTCCCTTTGCAGCTCTGACCCTATACAGCCCGCTGAAGTAGAGCACCTTTCCCATTTCTAGACCCTTTCACCAGCCTTTGCCCCTGTCCCTAGTTAGCAACCACCACCGTGCCCCCCAACAGGCCTATGCTCCCTGACCCTTCAGGATTCCTTTGCTGAAGTAGATCCTGGGACATAAACTCTATATGAAGTTAGTTACACAAAAAGAGAGAAGCAGGTATTTTTTAAATGATTTTTATTTTTGAATAAATTACATGCTTAAAAACTTTTAAAAACATATATTTTATTTTAGAGCATTTGGAATGTAGAAAGAATTTCCAAAATTAATCTCACTGAATTACAGAAAACAAAGATGAAAAGTTTCGTAAGTTGTTGACAGCAAATCATTCCACTTTTATATTATTTTGTAAAATTCAAGGATATTAACAAATCTTAAATAACAAAAGTACATTGTTCACTTTTTTGTCTCGTGTCAGTTATTGATGTAACAAAATAGAGCAGAACTTTAATATTTTAAATAATCTTTTAAGCTATTTTTCTATCTTCAAGAAATAAGGAAAGTTATTGCATTCAGATATTTCACACTTTATATACCAGTTGATATAACGAAGTGGATCAAGTACTTGAATAAAGTCATAGCCTTTTATATCCTAATAAAGGAAACTTACTAGATTCAGATCTTCACCCTTTACAGTAAGTAAATTATGCATCAATGTGTCTCTTTTTGCTTTATACCTGTTGTAAAGATAATGAAACATATCAACTATTTGAATAAAGTCATATCTCTTCCTATCTTTGGTAAAGGAAATTAACTTTAGATCTTTCACATCTTAGAGTAAACCTTATCTAGGCTATCAGTTTACCTAAATTTACTTTCTCTATTTAACAGATTTACCTTGCAAGTTTAACAAATGCTATTATTTAGAATTAGCAAACATCTGAGCAACTAAA